TTTCATTCTTTCTTTCTTTCTTTCTGTCTTTCTTTCTTTATATATAATTATAAATATATAAGTATTGCCCCCAACGGAAGTAAAGCTGGCGCTGCATTAGCGTAGCCTGGAGTTATACTACTATCGTCGCAGTCTAAATGGTAGGATAATGCTTTTTAAGGTCGTAATGTGCTCGTTCTGCCGCCCGTGTTATTATATAGCGATTTACAGAGTATCTTATTTAACGTCAAAATCGAACGCTCGTCTTGATGTACGATCCATACATAGTCCATTTTAAACCTATCTGTCGCATTGTGTGTTGTCTCGTTGTTCTTTTACATAGTTCCGTAATCACAAAGTGTGTATTTATCACCACATGTCATAGCCATCCGTGAATATCGCGCGACCGTATCTTGCGGTGCTGAGTGCTATATCACCTGTCCGTGAGTGATGTCACTCTGCCCCCTCACAGCGTGACGTGCGTACGCTCTCAAATGACGCTCCGGCAAGAAGCACGGTATAAAGGCGGCAAGATAGCAACCTGTCGACATCAAGTAGTAGGGCATATTCTCCGATTCAGCTGGACAGTGTAACGCATTATCCTATATACATATTAATACATACTCGTAGTGTAATTTGCCTGCGAATGAAGAGGATTTTTATGACTGAGGAGCGCGCTTCTATGTGTGTTGTGTGGTTTTATTCTGCGCAGACTTAGTAGCAACAAGAAGAAGAAGTAGAGAAAAACGTACTGACAATAGGTCACGGTGAGTTAAAATACAAGTTCTTTCATTATTGATACATTTTATATAATCTAATCTCCATGGTAAAACGGATAGAAAGTACACACACATATTTGGTATCAATATACCGGTATATAATAATCGTTTATCCCGATATCGTGCTTAAATATTTAGATAACACGAGACAACACGAACGGACTTGTTTGCCTATAATAACGCTAGTGATATATATATATATATAGAAAGTGAAAGAAAGAGAGAGAGAGAGAGAGAGAGAGAGAGAGAGATAGACGGACAGACAGACTGACAGACAGACAGATAGATAGATAGATAGATAGATAGATAGATAGATATGATAGATAGATAGATAGATAGATTAGATAGTAGATAGATAGGATAGCTAGACTAAATAGATGAATAGATAGATAGATAACATAGATAGATATAGATAATTAGATAGATAGATAGATACCATAGAGATAGATAGATAGATAGTAGATAGATAGAGTAGATAGGATAGTTAAATAGATAGCATGATGGATAGATAGATAGATAGATAGAGTAGACAATAGAAGATAGATAGATACGATAGATCGATAGATAGATCGCAATAGATAAATAAGATAGATTAGATAGATATGAAAGATAGATAGATAGATAGATAGATGAGATAGATAAATTAAATAGATAGATAGTTAAAGATAGAATAGATGAGTAGATAAGATAGATAGATAGTGAAATAGTAGAGAAGTAATAGATAGATACGATAGATAGATAGATAGATAGATAAGATATTGATTGATAGATTAGATAGACTAGATAGATAGATATATAGATAGATAGATAGATAGATAGATAGATAGATAGATAGATAGATAGATAGATAGATAGATAGATAGATAGATAGATAGATAGATAGATAGACCGATAGATAGATAGATAGGCGCAAACGAGTGGCATTAGTACTAATTGCATATATTTCGACTATTCCTTTCGACTCTAATAGCAAATAGTTGCTTGTTATCTCTAACAGATCACCTAACAGACAAATTTTGTAGCTAGTAGCAACATGTGAATATTCTCCTCATTGTGTAAACAAGTTGTCGAATCGGGCACACGTATAAAGCAGGTACACACATAATTAAGGACACCCGCCAGAACACCCGACAGTGACAAATGTGAAGTCCATGAGAGAAAGTAACAGTTCCCATTCATCACTCTCACAGATAGTAATTCTTCGAGGCCTTTATTGGATGTGTCGGCGTGCAGGCCCGTCTAAAGGGCAGGCAGTATAGAAGTCTACTCAGGGTTGATTTTATTGCCTGATCTCATAGATTTACACTGATCCAAATCATTATAGTGGTAGGCATTTTCAGCCTTCTTAGTTCATTTATGCTACATAGATCCACAATAACGCAATGCATTGATTACGTGAGGCTTAATAGGCGTGGGAAAATGGAAGTAATAATTCGCTGCATTATCATGGATTACCTAGGGAGAATTCAATCACGAAACCATCATACCAGAAACTTGGTTTTCAGAGGGTGCTAATGTCATACACTAGCCTATCTGCTAACATACACACCAATTTCTACATTACTGCAAGCAATGATATAGATATCATATAATGCAGGTCAAGTAGATGCAGTTTGTCTCGACTTTTGGATAGCAGTTGATATAAGTACCCTGCCGCCTGGACATCGGCGGGAAACCCGCAGTGGGTAGCCGAAGCAGGCGTAGTAATTAATAAGGAACGACAAATGAGCAATGGCAAATGAGTGTTGTACAGGACATCGCACAGTATTATCGACATGAACACGGACTACCTTAAAGGACATGCCCATGGTGCCAAACACCGGTTCTCGTAGTCGTAGACACATTTAACGACGCATTACCTGGTAAATTGGGTAAACTAAGCGTTTTGCGTGGAGCGGCAGTAGCTTTGACAAAACAGAAATTGATACAAATGTATTTAATTGTGCAAATAGAAGAAGAAATACGAGAGTAACGTAATTCATCAGGCATGTGAACTAAACTGGATTACAACTAATTATGTGTGTAAAATCTAACAACTAAACTACATCTTGCAGGTTGGATCACTGTCGACTCCTTTCGTCAGCTGAAAATGGTCATCACGCACGTGATGGTCGGTGCAATTTGTCTTGCAGGGTAAGAATCTAGCTATGTGCGTGGGCACTATATTTCTGGGCACGAGTTTTTCTATACTGACGGTAACTTGGCAGAGTGTGGAAAGATTACCTATTCGCGTTGGCTCTTGTTCATTGGATAAGAACCTACACAGCTTTTATTAGTTTCATTTCTTGTTAGTTTCCTGTACCTCTTCATTGCGCTGCCACACAGACTTATCTAAATTATTTTATATTTTAGGCTTAACTATGCAAGTGGAGAAGGAGTAGGGTATGGCGCTCCATACATAGGTGTTCATGGCGAAGGTGTATTCTCACCAGAGAATGAGAAAAAGCCGCTGGACTACGGTATAACCTACCAAGGCTGCTTCCAATTCTCAAACGACTTCATAATGGCAAGCTATAGACGCATAGACGCGTACAATCTCAATCTGAAGTGTGCCATTGCCTGCCAGTATTGGGGTGAGATCTTGTACGATACCCTTTCTTTAATTAGGCGTGTATATATATATATATATATATATATATATATTGAGAGAGAGAGAGAGAAAGATAGCTAGATTAATCGATTGACATTAAAGGGAACTCCAGTTATTTCTTATAAGAAGCCTTCTCTATAAATATACGCACATGCTACAGTGCGTTTAATTTCGCAGTGTAAACCCTTTAGACAGTTAGATTACTTCTTTGATTAACAACGTTAATTGATAAGCCCGTATTGAGTATAAGAGGGGACGTACACATCGTTACCGTATTAATATTTTCGTCATTATATCGGTGCAACGCTATACAAGTTATATATGTACCATGACTCTAGCTGGGCCGGGGTCAGTGCACGATAGCTTCTCTAGCGGGTTTTTGACGGAAGTGCAACATCAGCTCGTCACAAATTAAGCAGTCATAGTGAAACGTTCTGCTAGGCGGTTACTTGTGTGATAGATGGAGGAATGCCAGTCATGGGTACTTTCGAACATACCTGTCACGTTCGTTCTTCCGTAATAAATTTGTTCGTACATAAACAATACAATGCGAACGCTACCACTAAGTCTTGTGTTTCAGACTAGAGGCGCCGCATAAATCACCAGTAAAGTCGTAAATGATGCAGGTAAAATAGGAAATTGGTTTGTTTGTAGTCGACTAATTTTTTCAATATTCATATAATCGCAGGTATTTAGTGGTATCGATGTTTGTTTATCTGCAGGCTACATCTTAGCGCTAACTGCCGAGGATCTGTGCGTTTGCTCCAACGACTTGCCCTACACGGTCTACATCTCCAATCTTGCGGGAGCAGGAAGTCTGTGTGAAAATACGTGCCCTGGCGTAAAGGCCTCGAAACAGTACAACTGTGTGAAGGACGAGTGTTGCGGTGGAGACCAGGACTACAAACATACGATTTTCTCGGTGTATTCTACCGGAAGTGAGTGAGCCAACACATTATTCTGGTGATGCAATGCGGTTTCGCGTTATGTAGGGAAGAAAGTTTGTGTGGATTAATTCAATAAACCTCAATGAAGATTTTAATGCAAGAATAAAACGCCGCGAAGTCGGTGTCTCATAAGGCATTAGCGGCACCCTCACAAGCACATCAATGGCGAACACGTCTGCGATGAAATCTTCATACTAAAGCAGGCGGATTTGTTAAACCAACTTTATCATAATTGTGATAATCGTAGAAGATTTTAATCGACTGTGCTGTATTTCTGTGACTATTTTCCAGATGTTGACGTCTACGCGCAGATCAAGCGACGACTATACAGGTCGCTGACACTTGAAGGCAGACTCAATCACCTCTTTGGTAAGCGATTATAGTGCTGGCCGGAGGGTTACTATGATGACGCGGAAGGGTACGTCGAAGCGACAAACGACATTCCCTTTACCTTATTACATCGACGCGATGCATTAGGGAAGTGAAAGTAAACGAAGACGCGTTTACGATCAAGCAGGCGGGGTCATAGATAGCTAGTCAGCGGCTTGTTCGCTTGCATTTCAACCCGGCAATGCCTGTGGGTAAACGCGACAGCTCGCCTAGCAAACTAGTCTGCTTTGTTACCTGAGTCCGCAAAAGGAACGCCGGTGCAGTGCAGTGCAGTGCAGTACAGTGCAGTGTAGAGCAGTGCAGTGCAGTGCAGTGCAGTGCAGTGCAGTGCAGTGCAGTGCAGTGCAGTGCAGTGCAGTGCAGTGCAGAGCAGACAAGCGAGCACGTAGATTGAGGGGTTGTATTGCCTATTTGAGACGTGATGTCTTTTCGATTCTATTACGGGTAAAGGCCTCCTATAATAAGATTTAATTTGCATATACCATAGTGTGTTTGCTAATTAATGTCACTGATCATCTATTACTATTGGACTGGTGAGATCAGTACATCGTACATGTAATGCGTGAGACTATGACTAATGGTTAGTGATATATGGCAATATTTTATCATTATTGTGGTTAAGTAAAGAGCAATACCAAAAATAAACAATCGCATCCGTAATACACCCAGAGATATTCCACACCGAGATCACCATGCTTGTAATATTTTATAAATGCTGAACGACAAGATTAGCAGAGAGTAAGTCAGTTATACCCAACGCCAGAAGTTTCCAAAATGTATTTTTATTCAATATTTTGTTCAGTGCAATTCCGCGTGAAAACTAAAATGGAACAAGAAGAATATCAAACGGGAAATGATCACGGTTTTGTAATCATGGCGATGGTAACGGTAAGGTTACGGTAATGCTAACGACAAGGAGACAACCATACGAATTTTTGTGAAAATACAGAAAGAATTAAAATAAAAGATGATAAAAATTATGCAACGAGATAAATAAGACATGCTTAGGCCTAATTCCGAGAAAAAGATTTACGGAAAAAACTTTATAAATTTTATCAGAATGCAAATAAACGTTTGTAAATTAGGAAAGGGTAACGATTATGCAAAAATTGGAATTTGAATACCATAGAACTATCAATAGAGTAGCGGAAATTCGAAAAATTGAAGCTTTTTTCCAGCTAGAATTTAAGATGAGATCGTGCTATACGTCTGAATAACGACAAGCGTTGCGAGTGAATAATATCATTGTTGTTGTTTGATGTAGGCTCCCACGTATGTCCAGCAGCAGGGGGCTACGGGTACGGGAACCAAGGAAATATTCCTGCAGGTAAGACGATTAGATGTTATGACTTTCGTGCTATAACAAGCCTCTATTTGCTGTCGGCATCTTGATCTAAGTCGGTGATGATAGTTTGTTCTATGTATGGCTAGTATCTAGAAGAAAGTAGATCGAATTATTTAACCGATCGCTTGATAGATCAGTAGATCATCAATATAAAACCTATTAAGCTAAATAATCTATTATTTCAGGCAGACGTTAGTACTTTTAATCATTGATAAAATAAAAGCAGACATGCGCATACACCATGCGACGCACACACGCACGCACGCACGCACGCACACACACACACACACACACTTCACACACACACACACACACGAACTACACACACACAACACACACACACACACACAACACACACGCCCACGCACACACACCACACACACACACACACACACACACACACACCACACACACACACGCACACACACAGCACGACACACACACACACACACACACACACACACACACACACGATTAAGACGAGCTAGAAAGCCTACTATATCAGGATGATTAATGACAATTATCATTTATTGACAATCATCATCACTGATTATATAATTTCATCATCACTTTATTACATATATATTGTGTGTGCCTGTGTATGTGCTGTGGTGCTGTGTGTGATGTGTTGGGTGTGTGTGTCGTCGTCGTGCGCGTGTGCGTGTGCCGTGGCGTGTGGTGTGGCGTGTGCGTGCGTGTGCGTGCGCGTGGCATGTGTGTTGCTGTGCTGTGTGCCGTGTGGGCGTGTGGGGTGTGTGGCGTCGGTGTCTCGTGTGTGTTGTGTGTGGTTGTGTGTGTGGTGTGGGGGTGTGTGTTGTGTGTGTTGTGTGTGTGTGTGTGTGTGTGTGTGTGTTGTGTGTGTACATGATGATGAATTGCTCAAATAAATGATAATTGTCATTAATCATCCTGATTATATTACGCTTTTTCTAGCTCGTTTAATCTCGCTGGTGGTGTGTTGTGGCGTGGTGTTGTGTGTGTGTTGTGTGTGTGTGTAGCGTGTGTGTGTGTTGCGTGCCGTGCGCGCGTGTGTGGAGGTGTTGTGTGTGTGTGTGTGCACGCCCTGTGGTGTTGTGTGTGTGTGTGATATGTGTGTGTGTGTGTGCTGTTGTGTGTGTGTGTGTGTGTGCGTCTGTGGTGTGTGTGTGTGTGTTGTGCTTGTGTGTGTGTGTGCGCGGCTGCGCGCGCGCGCGCGCGCGGTGCGTGTAAGAGAGAGACACAAAAAAGAGTACCACTCGCATTTATTTTGCTACGCTATTTTCCCAGAACATATTGAGATGGACCTGTACGGCATAGAGCTTCACCTTGACAAACTGACCCGAGTGTTGAAAAAAAATGTGCATCCTTATTACGAGGCTGTGCCTCTTGGAGTGTACGACGGACAACTGGATAACACTGATTCACCTTACCCAAGCACGCTGATTAAGTTCTACGAGATAACGGGTACTGCTCTATTCATCATTACAATAATACAATGCATTTTCGATATTCATCAAATCTATTTAAAAAGCGCAGAATTTTCGACGTTTGTATCGGGTGGGAGGGGGGTAAAACAACAGTTTAGTTTGCAGTACATAGCATATTCTATAGCAATGTATTTTCTGCAGATACGTACGAGGATTCTTATGGTACGGACACGGGCATATCGCGTGACATCGCCGTTTCAGCAGGCGCAGATCCAGACAGACAAGTCTACGCGTTAGGGTTGCCAGGAAAGGTAAAACTGCGTTGATAAAACTTGCTTGATTTAAGCTGGGTTCACACTAGGGAAAAGTCGACGAGTTGATGAGCTTTTCAACGTTCTATCGACCTTTCTATTGGATGTTCAAAGTTTTTACGTTATCGACCGCGAGTCGGCAAACGTTTCAACATTTGACCCGCAGTGCGCGCGGGGCGACGTGGATAGATGGATAAAACTCGCTGACCAAAAGTTGAGAAAATAGAACATGTTTTAATCTCTTAATCACTTAGTTGCTATCAACTTGTTGAGCGCTCAAATTTTACGTTTATATGTCGATTTTTGGTCGATTAGTTGAAAAGTTGATCAGCTCGTCAACTTTTCAACAGAAATTTGATAGTGTAAACCCAGCTTTACATGCCTAATTGACTTATACGCCTCAGCGAGATATCCCCGCTCCTGTGATTCAACACTGACTGACCGCTGCTGTGTTACGATGGTATGGCAATCGTTTGGACACAGCCTATACGTGTGTGCAATTATATTTAAGTGTTTTCATGACGATGCAGTTACTCAGCTAATATCTAACCTCATCTTTCAATTGGTTATCATTCTGCTCGTCCCAAACAATGTTTTAAATTGTTCCGTGCTAGCACTAACAACCTCGCATGTGGCATTATTTACGGGTAAACCTAAATGCTTGTCGTATTAATGTAAGAAAAAATCTAAGAGCGCGTGTAAGAGTACTTCTATTCCTTAGGTAGGTTGAAATGCGGGGGAACTAGGTCAATGTTTAAATAATGGGACCTCGCAGAAAATGGGATTTTCTGAGCTTCGCACAACCCGTGCTCTCTGAGACTAGAGAGCTGTTTAGGGATAATTCCACGAAGATCTATAGATATTGCATGTCTGTTCCATTATCTAGAACACATCGCAGAACAATTCCGTTACCCTAAGTTTTATATCTGCTGTAATTCACAGGTCGCTGCCTCGTTCTCTTCGGACGCGGCAGAAGGAAAGTCGTTTTCCTCATCGTACTCACATGCCGTTGCTGTGGAGATTACTCAGGGCATCGAGGTTGATACGGAAGTGCCTGAAGGCCATACAGCAATGATCAACATGTTCCTGGAAAAAGACATCTACGTCATCAAATGGAGAGCGCAGTTCTTTACTGCCGGGTTCGCCAAAATCAAGTGGTGTAACCGGTAAGTGATTTTAACCGTACCTACGTTTATAATTACCTCACCGTGTGTTGATACAGCATTGGTACAAACGCGTAAATGGGGCGGTATGGTATATTCCTACTACTCTCCTACTAGTAGCCCAACTAATTGATCTTCCGAGACAACGACCGACCGTAATATTTTGGACGAAAACGTCGTGTTGCACAGTATCAATGTAGCAACTTCGACTAGCGTTAGGATGAATACGTCGGTATACGTATTTAATTCAAACGCAAAAACGTGCTACAAAAAAACTATAATCAACATCACAAGCGTTTATTATAATATATTTGATAAGAAAATGTATAAAAAATGCTATGCTATTTAAATAGCACAAACCACTATTATCTCAATTTACTTACTTCTACTCTAAAACTGGTTAATCGCTTATAATTAACAGCGTTTTTTGACATGGCACTGCTGTCACACGAGAAACATTATCTACGCTTATGATCGACTGTCTCTGAAGTGACGCTCGGTAATATCGTTTAGAAATATGAACGCAAGTTTGCAATAGCTCATTAAAAATATTTTCTCCAAATTATCTGCTGTTATTGAATATTACGGTCGGGCAATGTCGCTGCAGTGAGCGTGGGCTTCAAGGTTGCTGTGAATGGGAATCTTGCGATTACAGTAGCATTTGAGAAAGGCACTCGCGATCTTTCATGCATGGTTATTGCATACATCTACCCGTGTAGCACTTCGCACCGCTACATGGACCTGTTGTGGGGCGAGGGCTACGTAGAGCTAGTCATAAAGCTGCGAAACTCGCGTGTGCACGCAGTCGGGCCTCTGTACATGATATATAGATACGTGTAAATGCTTTCATATCGAACTACGCCTGGTTACCTTGGTTCCGGAACGATTACTGTGGAGTTATCATGATGTGTTTCACATAATATTTTGTGTGATAAGAGAGTGAACGTAGTTGATGTGTTTATGGTGTTACAGGTGGGCAACAGTACACATCAGTCAGCTTCTTGACCAGCGAGAACGAGAGTTCTTCGCCTTTGGCACGGCAAAATATCACGAGCGCTACCAGTGGGTGGGCAAGGTAACGTTCTACGACAAACACGGCCACCAACTCGGCCCAAAACCAGAGCTGGGAGAAGAAGGCAATTCCTTGTCGGAAACTGAAGAACCCCTAGATGCCTTTCGCGAACTAGCGGCGCCACCTACCAGACGGCACAATACCCCTATATTCGATCAATTACGCAGGTTTCGAAATCGGGGCCCCAAGTCCGGTAGGGTAGTTTACTCACCAGAATCGAGTGAAACAGAGGGTCGCCACCGTGGGCCCGTTATTAAGGAATTAAACGTAAACTAATTCGTCTTTCACGGAGATATAGCTCAGCGATTAAGGTGTGACGCTTATACCGTCACGGCAGTGACAACTTATGACGATGCTAAGTATTGGCGAATTCTCAGGTATCCCCAATGTGAAAGTTAAGGCCGCAAGGCGGAAGGTGGCGCTGTGAGCTTAATGGGCGTGACCTGTGGGCTAATGACGACATTTTCCCCTGTCAATGAGCTTAATCACCTGAGCAGCTATGTTCAAGAACGTCTTCCTGATGACACGTTCATTTATAAATGTAACGTGACATGCATACTAGTAATGTATTTTTTTCCCATCTCAAACTTGCCTGAGCTGCGTGGATAGGGTTAGAGAACAAGGTCATTTTATCGTTTACCAAGCCAGGCCTTATCTATGCTTCTAACCAAGCGTCATTATTTTCTATGCTTCTAACCAAGCGTAATTATTATCTATGGTTCTAACCAAGCGTCATTATTATCGTAAATTCACACACACATATATCATTACGCCGCGGATGACAGATTGGCAGGGACCAGAAACATTTTATTCTTAGTCATTGCCTTCGTCGCAAGTTATTGCAAGTGTTATAATATCACGAATTTTTTACCGTAGGGCCTATATATGGCTACTTTGTTTTTGACAATGGTCCCCAGCATAGCAATTTTGTAAATAGATATAACAAAGTTTGCCTAACAGATGTACATAACGTGAATTTTGCGTGGTTATGATTGTGATAGGTCTTGACTGGAATCTAATATTTTATATAAGATGAATTGCCTCGTAAATCAAGATGGGACTTTTTAGTAATTTTGACATAAAGGTGTTTGCTGCATGTCAAATAGTTTTATACCCTGTGTAGTCACATTCTATAAAGGCATTGGATTAAATTATTCAACTATTTAACAACAATTATATTTTGATCACTTAAATTCAAATCACACTTTACATAAAACTCATTTTTGTTATTTTAACGTAGTTATATGAAATAGCTTCTAACAGCCCAAGTCAGTAATCGTTATGGTGGCTTATAGGTTGCTGTATTTGTATAGAGGAGCGACATCTCCTTCTCTCGTTACTGTATAGTTGTCTCTGATAATATAGCGATTAAACTGGTCAGCATAATCCAGGAAATAATCTGTACTAGCAAGTCTAGTTGATAATATACAAAAATGGCCTTTATTATAAAATATATTATTATTGAAAAGTATGAAACAACTTCTAATCTAAGATAATTAAGATAGGTAAGATATATAAGATATTTATTCCATAAAATGTTGACCATTTATCTTGACTTTATGTTTATGACATTTACAACTGGTTTACATGTTTTGAGCCCACAGCACGGCTGAAAGTAATTCATCGTTAAACAACCTGTAGGCCCTAATATATAGTTCTGAATAAAATATATATTAGGTCGAGTTCAAAAATATTGTTATGCGAAATTATATCACTGTTGTTGAACAAATACGGGGGTTTCCTATAATTTCCAAAAACGTCTCCGCGTTTTTTCAAAAATCTTCTACACATATTTTCTTAGATTGCAGTGTGTGCGTGCGTGTACGCGTGCGCGCGAGTGCGTGTGCGTGTGAGTGAGTGAGTGTGTGTGTGTGTGTGTGTGTGTGTGTGTGTGTGTGTGTGTGTGTGTGTGTGTGTGTGTGTGTGTGTGCGCGCATGTGTGTGTGCCTGTATATGGGTGTGGCCGTGTGGGTGTGCGTGCGTGTGTGCGCTTGTGCATGCTCACGTACGTGTGCGCG